GGGGGGGTTTATTAATATGAGGAAGCGATTAAGATGTGTGGGATGAGGTGGGGAGTGGGTGGGGAGTGGGGATCCTTCGTTTTCGCCCCCGGTTCTCTTCCCACACGATTGTCGGCCTCTGAGCCTGCAGCCGGACAGTGCCCTCCAAACAGCAGCTTAAGCTTTTGCTTGGTGGAGGAAGAGGTGCGTCACCCAGAACTCTTGCAGTTACCGCCCGACACGTCCCCAGCCCAGCTTGTTCGCTTGTTCTTGGTCAGCTTTGCTTTGCATAGTTGGCATAAACTGGCATAGCTTTCTTGTTAGGCCTTTGACCTCCCAAGCGTTGGCGGAAGGTCTCGTACCAGTTTGCAACCAAGCCTCAAGAATCATGAGCTAGTCCACAGCCACTTGTTTGTGATAATTTGCTGGAGTCCAAGGAGTTTGCAGGAAAGAGGCCCGCAGCTGAGTTCACTGCTGCTGGTGTAGATGGTGTAGCGATGTTGCCGGCAGCACTTAGAACGGCCTTGGACGTGCAATCCAAGCTGAACGACTTGAATCACTTGTCGGGGGCACTGAACAAACTCCAAGCTGACCATGACCGCTACCAGAACTACCAGGAGATACCGATTTTCCACAGCTTTCTCTCATGTCCTCTTTGGCCACCTTCGCCTGCCTGTGACAGGCCGTGTTGCGCGGTGACGGATTGCTGGTTCCAGCCTCTTGAAATTTTGGAATTCTGATGAAGTTCTCCCATTCCCTGCCTTGGCTTTGGCTTTATTGACGCGCCCGTCAGCCCAGGACCTGAAAGATGCTTGGTTGCAACTGCAGCGGCGCTTGGACTTGTGGAGAACGTTCCAAGACTGGCAGGTTAAGTGTGTCTTGGCCAAGATGTGTACTGAAGCCTGTGGTAGAGAGCACCTCTCTTCTGAGAACACAGCCAAAGCCAAGGCAATGAGTGGCTGCCTTCAGTGCCTTGGCTCATTCGGCATTGTAATGAAGCATTGAATTTAGAACGGGGTCCTCGAATTTTCAGGACTTGCTGTCGGTTGACTTGGTGCTGGTGTCCAAGGAAGCCGCGTTCTCAGCTGCAAAAAACAACGAGGGACAATGCTTCATATGCCTTATAGGCCTAGGTGGCCTAGGCATGCGGAGATTGAGGTGACAAACATCTGGGCGCAGACCGATTTAACCCAGCACGACTTGCCTGAGAACGAAGTTGCCGAGGAACTCCGGAACCAGCGCCTCCGTAAAAGCATTTTGATTGTCGCATTTTAAGTGGAAAAAGGAGCTGGGGCCAATGGGACGGCTGGTCTTGAAAGCCAAGGCTGAAATATATGCAGGACCTGGTCCCTGTACTGGAGGTCGCTCTGCTAAGAGCTTGTGACTATCTGTGATTGTGAGTTGTGTGTGAGTTGTGTTTGGTTGAGACGGTGTGACACGGTGTGAGGTGTTGCAAAACCCGCACCTGCGGGGCCGGCATTGGAAGGAGCTCAGCGCCACCTTGGACGTCGTTTTGGACGTCTCCCACGCCGGACGCCCGCAGCTGGCGTTTGGCCAGGCCTACATTAAACATCTCAACAAAGAAATGTCATAATACTGTAATACAATTTGAATGGTTTGTTCCATGCAGAAGATGAGCGGGTGCGTAGGGGTGTGCGGCATTTGAGCCTTTGTCAGTGCTTCGTCGTTTCGTCGTCCTGTCATCTGCTCGAGGCAGCGGCCTGGAACTTGAGCAAGCACATGGCGGGGCTTCTGACTGTGGCACGCCGAGCCACGCAGGCGCGCAGAGCGCAGGGTTTTAAGGTTTGAGATGCTTCAGCCGTCTTCAGCCTGCTGGAGTGATGGTTGGATTTGAGGGTTTGAGGACGTGCTGATGTGTCCAGCCAAGGCCCAGACTCAGCCAAAGTTTAAGTCTTAAGTCTGCAGACTAGCTATGACTAATCTCCGATGCTGCCTCCAGGAGCATTACGTGGAGGTGGCGCTAGAGAACCTTGGGCGGTCCTGGAGCGGCATAGCCGAAAGTAGCCGAAAACACCTAAAGTGCTTTGCTTGCTTTGCTTGCTTTGCTTGTTGCATTGGAGCCTTTGAGGCCGCCTGGACTTGCCCATCCTGAGCACCGGATCTGGCCTCGTGCTGGGCAGCCTCAGGATTCTCGAGGAACAGCTACAAGACGGCCGTGCGGTAGTGGGCTCCACTTCTCGTTTTGCTGAAGTGCACGCGGACCGCGTGAAGCTGTGGCAGGCCAGGAGCTTTTTGAAGCGTTGCCGGGCTTTCCCAAGTGATTGCAAGCGGGTTCAAATCACAGGCACGATTCGAGAAGATTCAGGAGCTGCTCGATGAGTTCGGCTCTTGCCAGCGGCGCTATGCCCACTTGGACTCCGTGTTTTCCACGGACCTGCAGAAGCAGCTCCCAAACGAGTTCCTGGCATTCCAGCCAGTTGATAGCACCTGGAAGGCGCTTTCAGCTCTCCTTCAGCTCTCCGAAAGGTTGCATTTTGCGCATCAGGCCTTACTTCTACGGCTGCAGCAGCGGCCGCAGGTTGTGGACCTGGCCCTGGATCCACAAAACATGCAAATGCTGCGTCCACTGGGTGAGGCTAGGCTTTTCTCACCTTCAGAACCCTCGTGCCTGCAAACACCCTTTCGCAGACAATGGACGCCATCGTCAAGGACCTGGACAATTTTCTGGTTGCAAAGCAGCTCGGCGGGTTGTCGGCAGGGTTGGCAAAGCGGCTGGCGGGTTCAGGTTTAACGGATTTGGACCCGCACTTTTTCAAGGCGTCAGGGCTTTCCACGGCTCTGCTTCTTCTCGGACGCGGAGCTCCTGCAGTTCTTGCGTCTCTTTGGTAAGCGCGGCTCTGATCCAAGAGCCATGGAGCTCCTGACCCGGCAGTGCTTTCCAGGTCCTGGGGTGGGGGGGAGGGAAAGGGTGAAAAGAAAGAGTCCTCTCTTTCGCTTTTGCTTCGCTTTTGCTTCGCTTTTGCTTCAGGTGTTGCCAGTTTGGAGCTGGAAGTTTCCTCGGCTTCGGCTCTGGCGCTGGTGTCGCCTTCCAAGGAAAAGCTTGCCCTCTTGGCCAAGGCCCCGAAGAAATCGAAACCGAGCGGAGCCGAGCGAAGCCGAAAGCCACAAAGCCACAGTAATTACGCTTCACACTCTTCTTGGGAAAGGGTCCCGGGAGTCAGATGTCTTAGGGGCCTTGTACTGTAGAAGTTTCTACTTGGCTTCATCTTCTAGGTGTGATGTTTTTATTGCAAAGCGTACGCCCTTGGCTTCAAAAATGAGCACGCGCAGAATTCATGCGCCCCATGCGCCCGCGCCCACCTACGACATGCGTACGGTTCTGGCATGATCGCCATTGAGGGCGTGGTCCTCTCCAGTATCCAAAGCAGCTCAAGATGTACATCATTTGCCAGCTGCCTGCGTTCAAGTGTCACCGGAACTTGAAGGCACGTGTTATGCGAAGTAAGTCTGCGGCCAATGTGTTTTGCCTTCAGTGCGCTAAGCATCGAATCTGCTTCGTGGTCCTGTCAAGGATGGGTCGGGGACGTTTCCAGACGGGAAGCGTTTCTCCATGAAATTCTTGATTGGCTTCCCTCGGGCTGCTCCAACCACGTTGGCCACAGTTCTGGTAAGAGCTTGTTGCCATTCCGAGGGCTTCGTGCAGGTTCTTTTCGTGGTCTCTTTGACTTGCTGCTGCCTGACGGATTTTGCAGACGCTTGTCTTCTCTCGGAGACAACCCCCAGCATTTCGGGCATCGAATCTGAAAGCGAGGTCGATAGGAGCTGCAACCATACCACGATCCTTTGTTTTCACGAAGATTGCCCTGGTCACCACAGGAGTCAGGTCAAGCTGGGACAGACGCGAGAAGCAGAACGATCGGATGGGCTGCTGTAGCAGCCAAGATCACCGATGATGGGGTGGAGGTTGTTGGTACGATTTCAGGCACCCTGCCCAGACCGAGTACAGTCACTGATGGTGAAGTTCGTGCCATCGTGGCGGTGCTGGAAGCTCTGTCCGAGGAAGACCCCACGCAAGACGTCGCAACGGACTCCAGAGTTGCTCTGAAACAGCATAAGTGCCCTTATGTTAATAAGAGTACCTCCCATCAGTGGTCTGAGGTGTGGCAAAAGAAGCATCTAGTCAACCCTGTGTGGATAAAAGCACACATGACAGAACAAGCTTTTGTTGACCGTTGAGCTTGCTGGTATACGGGCCAAGGAGGCTTTCTGCCAAGACTCATATCAGGCCATGTTGTCAGTTGACCGTTTGGCCAGCACTCTCACAGAGTTCTTAGCAGAACGTGCGGAAAAAATTTTGTGTAATTCTGCCAAGTCGGATTTCCCCAAGTATGTACCACAGCCACAATTGAAGTTCAATAAGAGGAAGGAGGTCAAGCGCCTACTTCAAAATGACAGCCAGCAAGGGCACCAGTGGAAGTTGGGCAGCCAAAGCACGAGCAACATGACAGCTAAGTGATCCAAGTGTGGGTTGTACATAGTACAAACAGACCCTCCTGAGATATTCATGCGCGTGCTGTCTCACCCGTATGTTGGCACCAACCAACCTCCCCCTCAGCTAGGACAGCATGAGTCGCGTAGGCTGGCCTACATTGGACAGAGCTGGCAATGCAAACACTGCCAAAAGCAACTACAGGTCAGGGCAAAAATCTGCCCTAAGCACATGAAGGAAGAATGTGCTAAGTCCTACGGACGGTGGTCAGGGCCCATGATTAAAAACACGCAGCGGGTGTTCACGCCGGCTTGAGTGCCACAATTGCAGCCACGTCCAAATCGAGCTTTGGAAAGGGCCTTGTTGCACAAAAGGTCAGACCCAGTTTGCATAGTCACTTCGGTGCACAAGCGTCGCAAGCCCTGAAGCCGGACCGGGCAACAGAGCAGCCCATGCCGAAGGTCCAGTCCAAGAAGACCACTCCCGCCAGCCAAGCGGGGAATTCATTACACGCGAAGTGCAGCTTGTTCGGGATGCCTCAGAAAAAACCCTGAGGCGAGTAGACTGTTCGCGCAACCGGCATTGGAACACTCGCGGGCCCGTGAGGGGGAGGCAGAACCGACCCGGTCGGTGCAATTTGAGCAGCCAATCTCGACGTCAGCTGCCCAGCGTAACAAGGCACAGACACCACCCCGTCAGGGTGTGGAGGAACCCAATCGGGACCGAGACGAGGTTGACAAATTGCCGCCACCACCCTGTCATGGAGTGGATGCCTTGCCGCAAGCCAGAGGGTGCAAGATCCTGCTCTGCTTGAGCAAGTTCGCAGAGTCAATTCCAGCAGAGGGAGCCACTGACTACCGGTTACCCAGTCTGGGTAGAAGGTGTTCGTACCAATGAATTGGTGCACGCATCTCGCGCGTGTATTAGCAACTGAACCTCCAGAATCCAGAGGGGCAGTCAAGGGTGATGACCGGTTGTCAGACCTTCTCGATAAGGCATCACGTCGGTCAGACGCCATTGGTCCTGCCAATGACTTTTTCGCCACCTGTGAAGGGAAACCCACCAATCCTAGAATCCCTCTACGCGCTCAAAAGGTGCAAGAAGGCAGCTATGTGCGCATCCATTACCGTCTTAGGGGCGGAGTTCCAGGTCAAGGTACACAAGAGTGTTTTGGTTTTGTGGAAGGTAGATGTAGCTATGGGATGCAATGCCTTTTCCCAATAGACCAGAATAGTTAAATTTTTGAATTTTTGTTTTTGTCTATTTAGACAAAAAATTTGTCTATTTAGACACATATGTTAAATTTGTCTACGCGGCAAAATAGACAAATTTTGTAGACAAAAATTTTGTCTAATTAGACAAATTTTGTTGACCCAAAAGTTTGTCTAAAATAGATAGAAATGATTGTGTCTAATTAGACAAATCGAGCGGGTTGATCTAAACAAACTTCGACTAAACTTCGGTCAAACTTCGGGTAAACTTCGAACAAACTTCGGATTAGACTTCGACTTTCTAGAGGGCAAACATTGACAAAACTTCGGGTTTCCAGAGGCGACATTTCGACTTTCCAAAGGCGAAAGTTCGACTTTCCAGAAGCAAAAGTTCGACTCTCCCTAGCGGTTTTCAGCCGTTTTCTTTACCAAACACTAGCTTTACGCCAGTTAGATATAATGTGTTTTCTAACAGGACGTAGGATCATTTCGGAGGGATCTACATACAGCTCAGTAACCCAGATCCTTGGACTTCAAAACGTTAACCTCCCAGCCAGCCAGAAAAAAACATCTGTGACCCAGATCTCTGATCCTTAAAACTTCAACCCAGGCCTCCAGCACCGGACAGCTAAGTAACCCAGATCCCCGAAACTGAAAATGTCAACTTCTCCAAGCCCGCCCAGACGAAAGCAATTAAGCAACCCAAATTTCTAAACTTCAAAACTTCAACCGCTCAGCCTCCACACGGAACCAGTTCAGCAAATATGTAGCTTAAACCTTGAACCCAAACCAGGGCCATCACACCTGCATCTTCTTGATTTTGTTTTCTAACGGTAGTAGCCTTTCTGGCGCCAATGATAATGCAATGGGCCGTGACCCATTGGTAACTTCGACTTTGCCCCTGGCAAGCTTCGATTTTTCCCCCTTGCGAACTTCGAACTTTCCCCTCGCAAACTTCGAAGGTTCCCCTTGCAAACTTCGAGCAAACTTCTGGCAAACTTCGTCGAAAAAAACCGATTTGTCAAACCAAACTTCGACCAAAGTTCTTGCAAAGTGCGGGCGCGCAAGCCGAACTTTACCCGAAACTTCTTCGACACTTCGGGTTTTGAGGTCGGCATAATTTTGTCTAATTAGACAAAAATTGGTCTAAATAGACAAATTTTGTAGACAAAAAATTGTCCATTTTCGGAACATGTTAGACAAAAAATTGTCTAAATAGACAAATTTTGTAAAAGAAAAAATGTCTAAATAGTTCTCTTTTTTTCGTAGACAAAAGATAAATTTTATCATTTGTCTGCTTAGACATTTTTTGTCTAATCTGGTCTATTGGGTTTCTCCCATGCTACTGCCAGAATATGTTGCAATGTATGCGGCTCCGAGGACCATGTCCCGGAAGAGTGCATATACTATGGAGGTGGTAGCTATGATCCCCAGCTTGATCCGAATGAGCTTAAAGAAGCAGAACGAGCAGCGGCTCGAAATAGAACCCCTCCTTCACGCCTTTGGCCGACAGAACCATCGCATCCTCTACCTACGTCAATATTCAAAAAGTACCATCCTTGGTCAGATTGGCAGTCCAACATCTGGTACGGTACAGATGATGAAGAACCAGAAGAATGGGTGGAGGAAAAGCCCATTAGCACCCGGAGGGCCAAACCACCAAGTCCTCCCAAGGTTCTACGAACTGGTGCAAGACTTCGTCCCAGGTCTGACGGCAGTGGTAAACGCCCGCCAACATCGCCTAGGTCTAAACGGGTAAGACCAGCTACAAGCAGTAGCGTGAGTCAACCGCATCCTCAGGATGTACCACCCAGAAGAAGAGAGCCTAAACGGCGCAAAGAACCTCAGGCAGTTCCTGCGGTGACCAAGATTGGGGGTACCAATCAAAAGGCTGAGGTGAAGAAACTGGTTCCAAAAGGATCAGTTGGACGCAGTATGCAGCCAGTGCTAGCACCGAACAAGCGCAAAGTTGCCAAAGTTTCGACCTTGCGCCAGGCCTAAGTCAAGAAGGTCAAAGAGGTTGCATAACCGGTTGAAGCCTCACCTAAGTATCTCCGGCCTACTCCTAAGGTTAGAGCGGCCTCGGCCAATTCCAAGGAAAACGCTCCTAAGAGACGAAGCACAGGCAAAGCCGGTAATAAAGGCCTTTCCTCTGCAGAGTTCGAGCCCGTCAAGAGCAAACATGACTACAATCCTTTGGAGGGGGAAACAGATCATGTGGTCAATCCCAAAAAGGTAAAAGCTGAAGCGCCGCCTGAATCTTCCGAGTCTGAGGAGGAGGAAAGCCAAGAATCGGACCAAGAGGTCACGGATGAACAGTTGACCATGCAGTTCGACAGGTTGAAAGCTTCAGTTAAACCTAAAGCAAAGCCTCCTGCTGTAGCGGTCAAGACGGCTGGTGTCCCAGCAGATGTAGAAGAGACAGGTAGTCAACCTGTCAGGCCTCATGGTGATATTAGCCGCCTCAAAGCGATTTTGGCTGCGATCCTAAAATTGAGCTCCCCGTGTCAAGGGTTGTTGGTCTTTGAAGACACATTAGGGTCCAGTCGCCTCCCAGGCAATAGGGTTATCATCCACGGAAACCGGCATGCAATTGAGCTGAAGATCCTCATGCATCGACAAGGTCATAGACTACATCTAATCCAAAGGGACAAAGAGGTCGAAGATGATCTCAACTTAACAGCTCTGTCTGAGAACGTGCGGCTGCGTGTCCTGGAGGAACACATTCCAAGGGGTGATCGTGCCCCCCACTTGCAACACACTATAAATCAAGGCCTGTGGGCAACACATTGGCTTGGTCTTCCCAGAGCCTCGCGGAGCTTCAATTGAACAAATCCGCAAGGCCTTTCGGATAGGTCGAGAGGTGACTATGACCGGGTTGTGTGGATGCCACAGAGATTTCGTCCAAGTAGAAGATGGAGATTTTGTCCCATGGGGGGCAACGCTATCCGGTGACCCAGCCGTAGTCATAAGCATCCTTGATCCGCCATAGTCAGATTGGCTCTTCTAGGAAAGAGGGCTAAAGCACACCCAGTTCTGGAGGAACGGTCATATGTACATAGTACGTAGTGACGTTCTGTAAAACAGAAACAGGTGTGCATGCGCTGCATAAACTCTACACGTGTGTGTGTGGCTCAAGCTTTGGACCACCGTAAAGGCGCAATCATGTATTCAGTGTAAAGGTGGTATGTACATATCCAGTTTTTCAATTTCAAATGCAATCAATGCTCTTGTTTGTGGTGCTTTGTTGTTGCTTTAAGGAACGAAGCGACTTCTACCTGCGCCATTGAAAAAGGGACCTCTTTCGTTGTACTGCCGCAGATTAAGTGCCCTACTTGTGAGCAACCCCAGTGTAAGCAGTTTGATTGAGCTGTTGGACATGTTTCACATGTAGTATTTAGGCCCAAAGGAGGTGTCACAGTACCGGCCTTAGGAGCCATCAGCAGCCTCTCTTGAGCTGACTGCGTGGTTTGATTGGAATTGGGAATTTGGCGATGTTGAACAACTATTTCGTATTGAGCCCAAACCATACTGGCCTGGATGGCCTTTCAGAAGCGCTGGTAGAGACTATGAGACAGACTACCAGCAACGCGACGCGTGTAGAGACCAACTTGGTCAAGAGACCCAAAGCCGAAGCTCCTGGAGACGCAGCGCAGTCAGGCTGAAACCTGAGGAGCGCCGCAAACTCGAGGCTCTGCAACGGCTCAGTCAAGCATGCACCAATGTACAAGATAATTTTGCGAGCAGAGCAGAGGCTTCCGGGGCCAAATTTGAGGGTGATTTAGGGCGCGCTTACTGCAAACTTGGACCCGACATCCAGTTGTGGCCCATGTAATTTCCCACTCCGCCACCAGCACTCCCACCGGCTGTCTCCAGATTCGCACCACGCAGGCAACGCACGGCAGGGACCCTTTGCAATGAATGTGTTGCCGGGGAATTCGGACATGAAACGAAGTCGCGTTGTTTCTGACGAAGCAACCCTTTCAGACTGAATTTCCATGGTTGCATTGTGCAGGTGAAGTTCCGGGGTCCAGAAAGCCTGGAGGCGCTCCAGACTGCAATGGTCGCAGCTTTCCGGCAGCTCTTGAAAGGAGCCATCGAGGAGGCACAGTGCAACTTCCAACTGGTTAATGCCCAGCAAGCTCATGTCAAACACTTGCTCGTTTCCCTGCTCCTTCATGTGGTTTGCAATGCTTTGCATGCTCCATGTATGAACTTTCTATATCTCTCCGTGTAGTCGGCATTCTCGCACAGAGACAGTCCATCTCTCTGCGTTTGTCTGTTTCTATGTCTGGGGTAAAGGGAGACGGGAGGGAAGAGGAGAGAGACGACAGGGATGAAATGGAAGGAAGGGGAGGGAAGTCTCATGCCGGAAGGGCCACGGTGTTCCCCTGAGGGGCCTGCAGCCTTCAATCCACCATAGAGAAGTCTCGCTGCCTTGTTCTTGTTGCGTGCTCGCCTTGATCGCCCTTTGACCTCGCGTTCCACAATTTGTTTGACTACTGTTTTGCTGTTGTGATTGCGTACATACCTGTCTTGTGTGCCTGTCTGCAAGGCTGCGGCGGGTAATGCTGACGAGTGGGCTGTGTCTGTGGATCTCCCGAGCCAGGCACGGAGGCAAGAGCTGCAAATGCCTTGCAGATGGAAAAATGAAGGTGGTGCAAGTGGCTTGGCAAGTCGTATGGTGGATGGCACTCCAGGAGTCGGGGCCTTGGGCGAAGTCCCTGATTCGCTGTCTGGGAATTTGCTGATCCAAGGTCCTGGTTTTTGAGCCGAGAAGTAGGCATGAAGGTGCTGGCGTGCTGGCATGCTGGCAAGATCTGGCAAGTCTTCAGTGAAGCCTGGAGTCATGCAGCTGCGAGGAACATTTGCAGCGATGGCACAGCACATTGCAGTTAAGGCTAGCAGTGGGATGTGTGGACTCTGGGACCCTGCAATTTCAGAAGAGTGTTCTTGGAGGCTGCTGCAGCGCGCCGTCCGCCAGGGCAGCGCTGCGCAGCGCCGAGTGGCTTCACTGCTCCTCGTGGCTTTCAAGGAGAGGCAGAGCCAGCTCGAGCCCAGCACCCAGAGGCTGCGGGCACCATGGCCACGGTTTGTCCTCTCGCATTTCAGGCTCCTCCAGCTCCGCGGCGCGAGCTTAGAGAGCTTTGACTTCCAAAAACACCTACGCTACTCCATGGATGCAACTAAAGGTCCGCGTGCTCATGCCAACCCATGTGCCCGTGCCACCGCCCCAAACCCAAGGCGACCTGGGTCTCAGAATCACAGTGTCACAGCTCAATAGCAACTTTGCTTACGGTGTCTTGGCTGCGAAGTGAGCATGGGTCCTTGCTGGCCCCTTCGCCCCCTTCGCCGATGCATTGCAGGTTTCGAGTTCCTGGGATCTCTTGAGCGATTGGTCATGGCTCCAGAGACCGAGAGGTGCTGGATCTCTCTTTCGCAGGCTGAAGCTAACTGCTTTGCCAAGCAATGTGAGATGAGTCGAGTGAGTCGAGTGGTTTGAGTCTGAGGCGTTTCGTTTGCATCTGGGCATCTTGCTGGGCGGCGCTGCGGGCAGCGGCAAGACGGAAGTGACCAAAGGGATGGCCGCGGCATTGGGCGCCTACTGCGTTGTCTACCACGGCAAAGCGGCCGGAGCGGCCGACCTGAGTGCACAGTTCATGGAAGGTGTGGCGTTGCAGGCCGTGTCAAAAAGCTTTGCCCAGTCACCAGTGACTCCATTTCTTCCGTTGCTTCAAGGGCTGCTGGCTTTTGTTGGACGGGATACACATGCTCGAAGCCGACATCCTGGGCCCCTTGGCAAAAGCATTTCAGCTTACGACCTATACGTTGCCATCTTTTTCTGTGAGGAACCTGGGCCCTTCAGCTCCGCCGCTTCCAGGAAGCCCTCCGCTCGGGCCGCGACAGCTTCGATCTGCAAGGAGAGGGACAAATCGCTCTTTGGATTCTCTTTCTTTGGAAATGATCAGGCAAGGCAGTTTTCTTGAAACCCGGCGCCATCATCTCTGCCACCTTCAGCAATGACTGGCTTGCCAGGTGGGCAGAGACTGCCAGCAGAAAGCACACACACAACACAGGGTGAAGCACAGCCTTCAGGTCTTACTTTCCAGAGTCGCTGAAAAGCTGCCTTCGGCCGCTGAGCCTCGCAGCGCCAAGCACCGGGCACGTGGCGCACCTGGCAGAGGTGCTCCTCCTCTCCGAAGGCCGCGACACAAAGTGTGGCTTACACGTGTCACATTACGTCACGTTACGTCACGTTACGTCCTTGCGCGTGCATGATGAATCATGAAATCATGGAATCACGAAGTTGAAGGCTTCAGCGAGGACCCAGATCTTGGCAGGAGAGCTTGGTGCCAAGCTGAAAGCCGCTTTGCTTCGCTTTGCTTCGCTTTGCTTCGGCTCGCGTCCCGCAACTTTTGAGGTTGGCATCTTCTGGGGCCACTGCATGGTGCTCGGGGAGGCCCTACACACCATCGCCCTACATCACCTTGCAACCTTGAAAGATGTCCTTGTAATTAAGCGCATGCGTAAGCTCTTATTCGAGGAGGCTCGACTCTTCGGCCTTCGGGGCTTGCGTGTCTTCATCGAGAAGGCCCAGCCCTACAGCCCTGAGTGTAACAAGAGCGGCAGCATTGCGGGCATTGGCGAGCCTGGGATCAGGCGGGTGACCTAAGGCGATGCCATGATGAGGGCTCAGGCCGGACCTTCTCCATCTCATATCCCAGCAGTCCCAGCAGTCCCCGCATCTCTTTTCCCTTTCAGCCCGAGGCCTTGCCGGCTTGGCCGTGGAGGTCTTCGAGCCCAACCTCCTGGCACAGCTCTTGGAATATGTTTTATCGCCTTTTCTTTCACGGAAAGAGGACCTGGAGGACGGACACTGACACGGACGGGGCAGATGGATTGCACGCGTGCTGATGACATTGTTAGGAGCTGCTGGAGGTATTCCAGCCACAAGGTGGCACTTTCCTATTGCAGCCCCTCTCAGACCTCGAGAAGGAGACCAGGACCAAGGACCACTGCTTCCACCGAGCCCTCGAGAAGCTCAATGAATCCCTTTCCGCTCAGCCGGGAGTTGTCGCTCGCAGGAAACGTTGCGGTTCCATGAGTTGCATGATTTTCCATGTCAGGCTTTCTGCTTTGCTTTTGATTTCTGTTGAGGTGTTGATGGGCCCCGCCGGCATTGGCAAGAGTTGCTTACTGGAAGCTCTTGTCGCTAGAAAGGCCATTTCCAAAAAAGAAGCAGCTGGCCGTGTGCCCAGCTGCACAGATTAAGCCAGTTTTCAAATAGTTGTCAAGGAGCTTTCCTCTGCTGTTACTGTTGCATTCTTGAGGCCAGAAGCTGCAAGACCCGTGCCGAGCTCTGCTTGTCTTTGCTTCTTTCACTTCTTGTGCTCTCACTGATCCAGTTCATGGCCGGCTGTGGCGTATTGCATGGTTGAGGGGGAAGGCAACGCGAAAGGGAAGCAGCCAGGCAGTGCAGGTAGCGCGGGAGAAGTCAGGAAGTCAGGATTATTCAGGATTCATCTGATTCATGCTCATTTCACTGACTGCCAGGATGACCATGCCGCGGAGGAAGGGAAGGAAGGGGGAGGCTCGGCTTTTTGACTCTCTGTCTTCGAGAGGCTTCGCCTTCGCCTTGAAACCAGGCTTTCCTTCGGATGAAGAAAGAAAAGAGGAGCCGATCAAGGCCTGCTTCAGGCCTGTGCAGAAAACAGTGGAGTCGGTGAGAAGCCGAGGTTGAGATCAAGCGCATCTACCCCAGCAGTTATGACAGTGATGAGCTCTTTGGCGCCGGAAACGAGCTGAAGATAGAGCAGGCGGGGGCATTGCCGTTTAGTGCAAACTCCGGCTGCACACGTGGCTGCCAGCTGTAAGTGCATTGTGATGTGTTGCGATATGCAAGACCGAGCACCACAACGCGGGCGTGGTGGTCCAGCTGTTGGCCTCACTCACTCAGGTTCCAGTTGAAATTCTGTGCTGCTATCAAAGTGCTTGATGCAGGAAGACGGCAAGAGCAAAGAGGAGGAGGAAGCATGTCGGTGGGTGCCTTGGGTGGCATTCGATGGGGTCCTGGGTCCCTGGGCCGATGCACTCCACGGCTTCCTTGACGGAGATCGGCACCTCTGGGTTGCTGGCTCCCAGAGGATTGAGCTGCAGCAGGACCCTGAGAAACTCTCGTGTATCCCCTTCTTGCCTTGCTTTAGAAAGGAGATGCGATTCATCTTTGAGTGCGCGGAGCTTTCTGCCGCCTCACCGGCTCTTGTGACACGCTGTGCCGTCGTCTGCATGCCGTAGCCCCAACATAGCGCAGAGAGCACAGCGGGAGCACAGCAAAAAGCTCAGCGGGAGCACAGCACAGCCGTTTGCGTCCCCCGCAAGCTGGAGGCCTGCAGCCCCGCTGGCAGTGAGCATCGAACGCTTGCGGGAGCGCCTGAAACGCTCAGTGGCTGCTGAGCAGTTGCAGAGTGCGGGCCACAACCCTTGACCTTGCACACAGCGCTCACGTGACTCACGTGGGCGCCCACGTGCTCTGAAAGGACTGCTGGCCGAGCTCCCCAGCATCCTGGAGCTCTACATAAGCCTCGTGAGCCTGGAATCAAACGCCACTTGGCGACTTCTTCTTCAAAAAAAGCTTCTTGAACTTGATTCTCACAAGGAGCCTTGTGAGTCGATCGATGCGGTGCTCACGAGCTTCGGCCGTTTCTTTCTGGAGCCCCTTGGCGATGCGAAAGCGGCATCCGTTGACCCCCAAAAGATGACATGCGCATTGTTAGAGAAGATGTCTTTGGGAAGCTTGGCACTCTGAGGTTGGTCTCGCTTTGGCCGGGGCAGGGTGGAAAGGGAAAGGATAATGGAAATGATGGAGATGGAACTGATGAAAGTCTCGAGCACTTTGTCACCGCAGCCTGGGCTCTGGCGCTGGCTTGGTCCCTCGCGGGTCCCCTGCAAAGGGAGAGCGCACGGCTACAGGCAATGCGTTGCCGTTCCTCGTAGCACGATTCAATTTTCGCTTTCAACTGGCAGGTGAATCAGTGGAGCAAAGCTTCGGTGGGATTTGAGGATGAAAAGCTGGACCTCCTTTCCATGAAGCTTGGCAGCCACTTTGAATTGCTGAGCCTTTAGGCACCTGATGCTAAGGAAACTGGATCCAGAGGCTCCTCACTTGCGGCCCCTGAACCTGCCGAGCGTGGACTTGGCTAGCTCACTCTTCGTGCCAAGCATCCAGCATGCCCGTGCCTTTTGGCTTTGCGAGCAAGGCCGGTACATGTCAATGTGATTAGAGCTCGATGTGGCCATGTGATGTGGCCGCAAGCATTGATGACAGGTTGCAGCCTTCTGGTTCGTGGCCCTGCTTGCAGCGGCAAGATGCTTGACTTGAAGTTCTGAGGTGGAAAGGCTTTTGCGAAAATTAATCAGAAGCCAGGACACTTCTGGCAACCGAAGTGGTGCGGCGTTTCGCATCTTGGCACTCTCTGCAACGTGCTCAAGTGCCCTGCTCTTGAGCTGCCTAACAGCCTAACTAACATCTGAGGCATCGCTCCACGGATACACGGTTCGGGACTGGAGAATTAAGAGGATGGCTTTTGACGAGGCATGCTTTCGCATAAGGTCTGGCTGCGGCTTAGCCCGGGCTCGCCAGTGAAGCGCCTCCGCGCCGGCTACGCAGCGGGTGCAGCCTTGGAGAGCCAACCAAGCGGCTTGGGTTCTCCTTCATTTCTCTTTCTTCTCTTCTAATTCTCTTTTCGGTGTCAAGTTCTTGAGGAAGCCCGCTTCTGGTGGCCGACGATGTGGCCCTGGGCAGCTTGGGGGCCATGGAGCTTCTTCGCCGGATCCGGGATGGAGGCGCAGAGCACTCACAAACCCTGAAGAACTTTGAAAGCCACCGCCACGCAGCTCAGATCTCAGGCGAAGTTCAGCTGCGCTCAGCAACTCTCCTGGCGGTCGCCTCCAGCGGCACGCCGAGCTCGGAGACGTCTCTTGGAACCTTTGCAACCGCAACCGAGAAGCGTTTCCTGCGACATTTTCTGATGCTGGGCTGGACATGGGCAGTAGAGAACGTTGTGGAGGTCTACTCCACCATTCTCTCGGCACGGCTGAGTTCCAAACTCTCGACGCTGGGCAAGGTCCACGGGAAGGCACTGCTGGAGGTCTATGAATTCGCCCGCACCGCTTTCAAGCGCAGCCCGAAAGCGCCATACTTGACCTGGACACTGCGGGACGTGGCCCGGGCTTTGGCTGGCATACTGGCAGCAGCGGCAGATGACACGTCTCCGGATACCCTTCGCGCCGCCTTCCATCATGAAGTTGATCGCGTTTTCAAAGACAAGTTGAAGACAAGCATTCACAAAGAGCTACTGCAGCAACACCTCCAAACCAAGCCGCTTGCATCACTTGAAGCGTCCGCCACAGGGGAGGGCACGCCCATGCGTGCGCCCGTGCGTGCCTTTTCATGCAAAAAGACGGAAAGCTTACTGTAGCTGCAGTAGCATACTGTCGCGGCTTCAGAGTGACACGAAATGACACGAATCGTCACATCGTATGTCGCTCGGAGGCTTCCTGAAACGGCTCTCGGCCTCCATCGAGAAGCCTTACGAGCGTGCCGACGAGGAGGCCATGCTCCGAAGCTTCCAGGACTCCCTGGATGAGTACAGGCGCAGCATTGAAATTTATATACAGTATTTTGCACATTTGCCAACAGCTTTCAACTCTGCGCCCAGAGCTGCCATGGTTCGCGAGGCAGCTCCAAGACGACGCTTCCTTTCGCGGAGCGTTTCCCTTTTTCTTGGCCGAGGAGGTGGTGGACCAGCTTTGCCGCAGCTAGCAAGAACCCAGCATGAACCCATGAAATCCTTTGCACGGAAGGGTGCCGGATGGATGCCTCCCAAAGCTTTAGAAGGGAGGAGGACTTGGAGAGGGAGGTGCTCAAGTTATCTCAAGTGATGTGAATCGAATGGAGAAGACTATTAACTAGAAGACACTCGGTCAAAGAAGCCCAAGACTCTTTGCGGAGCTGATCAAAGAGGCTTTAAAAGGAAGAGTCGCTCTCTTTAAGCTGCTCTCGCGTTCTCGCTCCGCACGCTTGGTACCGAGGCATCCTGCGGACAGGGGCTTTGGTGCGGTGCTTAGAGCAGAGTCAGTGCCCCCCCCTCCCCCCGTTGTGATGGACAGTTGAAGACTATTTGACATAGGCTTTTGGTAAGAGCTTAGGGAATTAAAAGAAACTTGCCGTCAAATGGTCGTTGAAAATTTGACAGCGCTGAACGCTGCCACGGCCGCAAACCGACCAGGGATCCGTTGGCCGATCTAAACGCCCCAGGCCTTTGGCCTCGGCTTGAGTAGCATGTCAGATAGTGACAGGGAGAAGCAACTCATGCCCTGATCGTTCACGTGCAGGCCTGAACGTGAGAAGCGTGTTCATAAAGGCACACGGATTGGATAACGACGTCAAAGACATCTGTAGATGTTGGAGAACTGGAGCAAGGATTTTAAACTGCCAGTCGACGAACAAGACCAGAACCAAACTGGAGTCCGCGTGCAACACACATCAGAAAAAATCACCAAACTCGAAAAAAGGCGGTTCTTGCCTTTATCCTGGGAGGGATTTGAAAAAGTGAAGCCTCGCCCGGAGCTGCCGGAGCTGTCCTGTCGCCCAATCCAGCGCTCCGCGGCCTTAAGCGACGATGTCCCGAGTTTGCAGCAACTTCACAGTTTTCTTTCACCTGTCCGAGATTGTCTTGATAGAGTGTTGTCGACATGTTTGACGAAGTACAAAAGCGGCACTGCGGAGCGGCGGAGAGTACTGTAGCTTCAGACACATTTGTAGATTCACCTAGCTTACATCGAAGGCGCGTCTCAGAAAGACAGGTGATCCGTCGTTTCCCTAATATTAACCAAAAGATGTCCCCGCCCTTCGTAGGAAGTCCGATGCCGAACAAATGTTTACCGTTCGGGAGGATTTCTTGAAAGAAGTAGATCGGGCTCGCTTTTAGACGCTTAAATCCCTATCAAGCCGGCTGAAAATCATTCAGCTCTAATGAAAATGCATTCCAAATCTACGTTGAACCGGGCCAATTGAAATCGAAATATTTAAAATCGATTGAACATCCAATACAAACCATTGAATCAATTCAGTAGTTAGAACCGATTGCAAATCAAATTAAAACCAAATAAGATCTAAGTGCCATTAATTAATAACCTGTTTTGAACAGAAGCAATATCAGTTGGAATCAAAGTAAAATCACATGAACTCTGAGTAAAGTCAATTAACATTCTAGTTCAAATCCTGTCAACTTGTTTAAACCAATTGACATTCAATGACAATCAACTGAGAATCACAGTTACACCAACTCAAATCAGTTTAACTGAAAAGTTGAACATCTTATTGGAATCTGCCCAAATGAAATAAATCAATGAAAGGTCATTAAAGATCAAGTAACAGAACAAAACCGCATGTAGATTGTTCGTATGAATTCTTTTCTAAGAACTTGTATTGCTGTAAAAACCACACCAAAAAGCTACGAAACTAAGATCCTGAGTGTTGGTTCCTCATTTTAATTTCTAATGACCCCACAACACCACCGAAGCCATGATTGGCAGTTCTGCCCTTTTGAAAGTGCAGTTCGTGATCTTGGGCCCCTGGACTTGCTATTGAATATTGGGGGGGAGGATTAATGTTAGGGGGCAGGGATAATTCATGTTGCATGTAAGTTTGCACAGCTTAAAACGAGCATGGGAGGCACGAAACGGCCCATGCAAGAAGCTCAAGGAGTAGGTTGGGAAGTTAGGAGAAAAGCTTGCACTGATCGACAAGATGTCCAGGCTGCATTGACTGGCGCAGGCTTCTGCCTTGACACAAAGCAAGCATGCCGTAAGAAATCCAAAGACCTATTTTCTAAGCAGTTCCGAGCAACGGAAGGCAAAACCAAACCCCTTGCGCAAGCACATGCGGAGCGTTTGAGCTGCTTTGGAGCTGCTTTGGAGCTTAGCTTAGCTTGGAGCTGCTTTGGACGGTTCTTTCCCAAGGCCCGGAGCCATCTGCTGCTGCTCGGTTTGCTTGGCAGCGGCCGGCGGAGCCTTTGCGGCCTCGCAGCGCACATCTTAGATGCCGTCCACTTCACACCGAAGCAGGCGCCGGGGTCTCTTTAGGTCAGGAGTTGCTGAGTCTGGCAGAGTCTGAGTCTGGCAGGATCCCTTCTGCGCTGGGGACTTCAAGCAGATGCTGCGCGTGGTCTGGCGAACCTGTGGAGCCAAGAAGAGCGATTGCCTGGTAGTGCTGGCTGATGAGGACCTGCCTTAGGCCCTCAGGAAGAGAGCAAGCCCTGAGAGCCCTGAGTGTCTCAGGATCTTCATGATGATGGCACCCTAGATTTGGTGGAGGCTATTCTGGATTTGGGACATGTGCCTGACTTGTGCAGTCCTGACGAGATCACCAACATGCGGCTGGTCAGCAAGAAGACAAGCTCAACAACTAAGAAATGTGACGCAGATTCTGAAAGATGCTCATTCGCAGAATGATTACTGAGCTGCAGCCTGAAGCACTGAGGGTCCGTGAGGCCTGGCCTAGAATTCTTGTTTATATGCAGTGCTTTGCATAGTGCTTCCTTCGTCTCTGTGGACCCGCCAGGCACTGGACTTCAAGGACCTGCTACTCGCGTTGCCTCCGTCGTTTGCGTGGCTTGCGTGCCTTATGAATACTTGCAGAATGTCAGGACTTGGCCCTGCACGCTGCGGCTCGTCAAAAGCATTTGAATACTACTTTGTTGCATCAACATGTGACTTCACATATTCGCAATGTACCAGGGTTTACACATGCAAAACTGAAGAAAGTCGCCAACATATGAGTTTGCGTTCTCCGTGCAGCAGTGGTTAAGACGTGTAAAATTCAGGGAAAGTGCCAGCATGCGAGCTCATAGTTTCGCCGTGCGGCTAGGTCTTACACGGGCAAAATCATGGAAGGTCACCAGCTTGTGAGCTCACAGGTTCGCCGTGTAGTTTATGTAAGTTCAAAGTCCGGTGACGGCGCCTGTACCATGCCGCGTGCCGAGGGCCGTTTTTGGATGATTTTCATAACTTTTCCGACCTGGCTTCTTGTGTTCTGTAGCATGCGACTCCTGCTATGGCTGGGTTTGCTACCTGAATTACGTCGGTTTACAGAGTGTGTTCAAAATAGCTGCCAAGCTTTGCCGCGTCCAAGGTTCGGAGAGCATACGGTCGCCAGATCATCCATTCCCAAGCCATAACAATTTTCGTGTTCCAAGAGCATACGGTCACTACATTTCAGCGGCATCGGACTAATCAATGGTGCCAACTTTGAACCTACTTGACCCATGCTTTGCAGTCATACTTCTGCTGACCACTTCTTCCGAAATCACCAAGTCCTATGTTTTTCAGAATGGCCCCAATTTAATTGGTTGCCACAGCCCTAGGTGGATTTGTGCGGTTCTGGCCGACGCGCGTTTCGCCACACGTTTGAGTATATTTTACCCGAAGGCCTTTTCAGAAATCGCAGCCCTCCCACGGCTTCACCACGGCTCCATTCGGGCGCCGTATCCCAAAATCATGGAAAGTCGCCAGCAAGCGGATGTTCACCAAGCTTTACACGGGCAAAATTCACATGTTCACCCTGCAGCTGGGCTTTTACACGGCCAAAAATCAAGTAAAATCCTAGCATTTGAGCTCACAATTTCCCCGAGCAGCTGGGCTTTGGGCAAAATCAAGTAAAGTCAGCCCACATGTATGCTCAACATGTTCGCCGTGCAGCTAGGTTTTACACGGGCAAAATCATGGAAAGTCACCAGCATGTAAGCACATGTTCGCCAGGCTTTGCAAGCGCAAAACTCAGGGAAAGTACTCACATGCGAGCTCAAATTTTCGCCGTGCAGCTGGTCTTGTACACGGACAAAATCAGGGAAAGTGTCAAAGAAAGTCACCTAACATGTGAGCTCACATTTTTGCCATGCAGCTGGACTTTTCACGGGTAAGGTCAGAAAAGGTCGATAACACGTGAGTTCACATGTTCGGCATGCGCCTGGGCTTTATGCGGGCAAGATCACGGACAGTCACCAACATGTTAGCTGACATTATTGGTGTGCAGCTGGGTTTTGCGCAGAAACGTGGAGAGTTACTAACGTGTGAACTCACGTTTTCACCGTGCAGCACTGATCTTGCCGTGCAACACCCACCTGCACGGCGGAAATGTGAGCTCACATTATGTTGATGACCCTTTCTGATCTTACCTCTGACGAGTCCAGCTGCGTGGCGAAAATGTGAATCCACATGTTGGTGGCGTTCCTTGGTGTTGGTGTAAAACCCAGCTGCACCGTTTTGACGATATGAAACAGCTTGTGAGCTCACATATTCGCAGTGCAGCTGGGCTTTATACAGGCAAAATTCAGAGAAAATACTAGAATGTGAGCTCACATTTTTGTCCAGCTAGGCAAATTCAGGGAAAGTCACCAGCATGTGAACTCATATTTTCGCAGCACAGATGAGGCATTTCACGGACAAATGAGGGAAAGTGTGAAAGAAAGTCACCAACATGTGAGCTGACATTCTCGCCATGATCAGAAATGGTCGTTAAGACGTGAGTTCACATTTTCGGCGTGCGGCTGGACTTTACACCGGCAAAATCAGGGAACGCCATTAACATGTAAGCTCAACATGTTCGCCGTGCAGCTGGGTTTTACATGAGCACAATTCTGGAAAGTAACCAGTACGTGAGCTCACATGTTCGCCATGCAGCCGGTTTTTGCATGAGCAAAATTCAGGGAACTCTCGAGAACAGTGCGAGGTCCCAACGTGCACAATCTTGCATGCATCAGCTTCTTGAATAACAGGGCCATGCATTTGAATACCATCACCGCGAAAATCAATGGCGTAAGATATTGGACAGCCTATCCTCTAAACATGCTTACATCACGGAAGTGCAGACCTGCATCTAGATTTGGGATGTGACGAGGAATTAGCAGAGCCCTGTAGACACTTGCGTTGCAATCAAGTGGGGTGGGCAGGGACTCGACCTCTGCACTTCGACCTCCAACTGCCAAGAATCAAAATCTTGTCAGTGTGATTGCTGGAAGCCATAAGAAGAAGCCTGCCTTCAGCTTGTTTTGTCAAGGCTTGGCCACTTTTCTTGGATCGTGCAGGGCCGAGATTGTTTCAAGAGCTTCACCCTGCTAGAAGATGTCACATCTGTCAAATGTCGTGAAGCTTTGCAAAGCTTAGGTGTCCACCAGCATTTGCATTTCGTGCTTTGCATCTCTCCTTCGGAAAACAGCGTGCTGCGGCGATCGGAGGTAATTTTGAAGGCCTGCGCTGCCTGGCACTGAGTGGCCCCGAGCGGAGCTCTCCCCTTGAGTCCTCCCTGCGCCCTTTTTTGTCGTGATTCGCGGAGCAGCGGAGCATTCGCTGAGGTGAGTCACGTGGATCCTTGGAAGGTCGAGTCCTTTCAGGCCTTGGCCGAGTCCAGCTGCCTGGAGAAGCTGAAGGAGTTGGAGGTGAAAGGTGAAGGTTACCGAAGGTTACCGAAGGTTGAGTTTTCCTTTACTTAGAGCTCTAAAGGCCTGTTTTAGGCTGCGCTTCGCTTTAGGCTTTGCTTCGCTGGACTTACCTTCCTCAAGCTCAGTGGCTGCTTGCCTGGCTCGGTCCCAGGAGCTCCTACAAGCCCAGGACACATCACCTTTCGTAAGACGTAAGTCCCATAAGTCGCAAAAAGGAAAGCTGGGGCGAGTCGCTTGGGGCATCTTGTGCCGACCATGTTCATCGTTGATCCGGCAAGGTGATAGAGTGCATGAGTCTCTGGAGCCCCTGAAAGGAGCGGCAGTTCGGAGGAAACGGAGGCAACGGCAGCGAGGTGTCGGTTACAGTGAGGAGCATTTTGCAGAGCTTTTGCAGGGTGGCAGCGCCAGCAGAGAACTTTGGCTTCTGCTTCTTTCTTTGGATGCCGCTCCAGGAATTTCTCTGTGGTGTTGCAGTACTTCGGACAGATCTGGCGATGGAAGAGCTCGGAGATTTCGAAGAAGCCGCTTGCACTTTCCAGAAGCCCTTGAAAGCCAAAGCCAAGTCAAAGTGCTACTGCAAAATGCTGTTAAACTGCTTTGTCGTTATCGCTTTGCTTTTAAGGCGTTTGCGTCTGGAGAGTGCCTTGGGTGCCCTGAAACGAGCTCCAGGCTTTCTGAAAGAGCTCCAAAGGACCAGACCTGAAAGAGACAATTTTCTCCTCCTTTCCCATTCTTGTCTCTGCAGGAACGTGGAGGTGCTGAAGGAGTCCATCAATCAGCAAGAGGCCATGCTCGCAGAGCACCAGGACACGGTCGCCTCTATCGCATCGCAGGTCCACCATACGCAGGCGCCTGATGCCCCTTTCCGCCTACCTGCACTTTAACTTCACCTTACCTTCCCGTGGTGAGGAGCAGCTGAAGGTGTCTGAGGCTGCATTGGAGGAACAGGAGCAGACCAGCAAGGCCCTGGCAGCTGAGCTGCAAGGCACGCTGGTTGCCGCTGGTTGCTGGTTGGTGCAGTTGCCATTGTCGCCATCTCCCGCACCTGCTCTGCACCACTCGAGGAGCCCTGGAGGAAGTGGTTCAGCCATACCGAACAGCGGTGAAGGCTTTCGAGAAGGTGGACAAGAGCCTTTTCTGCAAAGGTCTTTCAGTTTCCAGGTTCCAGTGACTGCAGTGCATTGCAGTGCACTGCAGAGGAAGGATGTGAGCGAGCTCAAGAACTTTGCAGCACCGCCCCCGCTGGTCCAAGCCGTTATGGAGATGGTCGCGCAGCTCTTCGGATGCTCAACAGACTGGTCCACTGCCAAGAACCTCATTTCCGAGAGCAACTTTGGCAAGCGCTACCGAGACTTCGACAAGGAGAGGCATTAGAGCGGAAGCGTCAGAAGAGAGGCCTTTTTTTGAGTAAGAAGTATGAACAAGGAGAGGAGAGAATCGGAGAGGAGAGTGAAATTTGCAGGACCATATCCCCGAGCCTGTGGCGGCGAGGTTGAGAGCTGAGGCTGGCATTTGCATCTTCGTGAGAAGGTGTGAGGTCTCGAGGTGAGGGTTGCTTGGTTGCTTGGTTGCTTGGGGTTTGCCTTCGGAAGTTCTTGGAACCTGCGGCAATCGGAGACCCTAAACTCTTTTGTCAGGCCAGTCGGAGTGACTTCAATCCCGCCCTTGTAGAGTCGCAGAGCAAAGCAGCAAAGTTCGTTTGCAACTGGTTGCGGGCTCTTTCTGGCTATGATGAGGCGCGTCCTCACAGCATCCACGTTTCATGCTATCGAGGGACCTCTGGTCCCAGAACGTTGTTCAAACTGGAGGTTTACCGGTCTACGGCTGGCTTGCGCGATCGAGCCAGTCAGATGGAATCCGAAGCTGCGTTGACACGAGGTCTTGTCACAGAGAGACAGGCGGGTCTGAGAAACATGAGGAGACTTTTTGTTGCCAAATTCGTTTTAAAAAATCCAGCTCTGAACGAGGCAGAGCTGCAGAGCCTCCAGGCAAAGGCACGGTTTCTCCTGCCGGCAGATGTGGCGATGTGGGTGTGAACACCGCATGCGCACATCACATCTGTAAACGTTTCCAGAGGCAGAACGGCCAGCTCAGATGCTCAAGGAGGCGCAGGCCGCACTGCCCCTCGGCAAACTTTGCGATGCAGTGAAGGTATGTGAAGGTGCCTTTGTTGCGTGGGCAGATTTCAGGGACACCTCGATGGAGGAGCTGGAGGCTCTCTCGAAGCGTGCCGACTTGATGAACCAGGTCTTGCAAGGTCAGCTGCAACTTGCAATCACAAAAGCACCGAGGGAGCTGTAGCCTAGCTGCGCTCTCTTGCGCTCTGTTGCGCTCTGCGGAGGTTTGCTGGTGGAACAAAGTTGCTGGGAGCGGCAGCTAGCTGCACTCCAGGCTTCCAACGAATCGTTGCCGGGAGAGTGCGAATGACTTAGCTGCCTTCGTTGCCTTTTCTTTTGTTTGTGCTGCATGCCGAGCTTTGCTTCAGGTCTCTACGCTGCGGTGGCTCTCGGCTATCTGGGGCCCGTGGCTCCCAGCGAACGGCCGTCCTGGGAAAAGCCACTGCAAGAACTTTGGACGGAGCCGCTGGGAGTGAGAATCGCAGTCCATCCTCTTCAAAGGAGTCCATCCTCTTCTTTCTTTGAGTGGCTTTTTTTAAAGTGTTCTGTGTGTCTTCTCTTCGAGGTCTGGCTTCAGCTTCTCGGACCAGGTGCATCATCAGTGGGAGGTGGGCTCGCACACTTCACGAAGCGATGTGGACGTGGAAGACCCCGGCAACTCCTTGGACCTGGCAGATATCGAAAATCGGATGTCCACGCATCGCACGGAAATGGAAGAAATGGAAGAGGAATCGGAGTCGAATTCTCCGTGGACTTTGGCCAGCTTCCTCTTTGACGAGGTCTCCGAGCACGAGTGGAACGCCCAGGGCTTGCCGGGTGGTTTGTCCACCAGCGCGGCTCTGGCATTGAGAGTCCAAAGCACTCCCGTTCTCCTGGACCCACACGAGCAGGCCGGAAAGGAATGGTCAGATAGCCGCATTGCCTGTTTCATATCTTTTTGATCTGTTTTTGAATCCCTTTCAGAGCTGGGCGAGGCCTGCAAGTGGCTCCGCAAACAGACGGCCTCCCTGACAGTCACGCACGCTGCAAGCCCAAGGCTGAACCAGGCCCTTGCCGCTTGCCTCCGCGAAGGCCGCCACCTTCCCTTACTTGCCTTTCATTGTTGCCTTGCGCCGCTTGCCGCCGCTTGCCCTTGTGCGGAGGCAAGCCCCTACTCGTTCTGGGTTGCAGCTCGGAGCTCTCACCGAGCATTCTAACTTACCTGAAGACTGGGCAGGAGCCGAGCAAGGCACACACGTGTTCTTGCTTGCTTTTTGCCATCTGCACCTGCACTTGTGGACTTGTGGAGGATGCGAAGAAGGAGGTTTCGGTTTCGATTACAAGGGAGCTGAAGCGGCCAGGGAGGGCAAACAGGGACAGGGCTGAGTCCGCAGCAGACTCCGAGGATGCTAAGTCAGAGGCAGAGTCCCTGGCGGACGTCCAAGTGGAGGCCATGGGGCTGTGCTTTCTGCTTTCTTCTCTTGTCGTCGTCGTCGTTGTTCTTCTTCTTTTTCTTCTTATTATTCTTCTTCTTGTGGTTGTTGTTCTCGTGGTTGTTGTGGTTGTTGTCGTAGTTGTTGTAGTTGTAGTAGTAGTAGTAGTAGTAGTTGTTGTTGTTGTTGTTGGTTACGGCCTACACTGTTGTTGTTGTTGTTGTTGTTGTTGTTGTTGTTGTTGTCATTGTCAAGATATAACACTTCTTGTGCACTTCCCTCTGGTTGGACCAGTGATGCAAGAGCTGAACTTCCACACTTCGTGTGTGGCTCAAGCCGGTGACCAAAAGAGGACTTCAGAGAAGCTGTGCTGACTTCAAGGTACACTTCCGTGCCCTACGAAATTTTTATGGTAGCGGAGCTTCGTGCTCCTAGCCTTGGGTAGACTTCAGTAGATGGCAGATTTGACAGGAGGCTTTGCAGGCAAACTTCGTTTGCCATTTCCACCAGTCTTTAATGGAAATCCTGAAGATTGGGAAGAATGGCAAAGGAACTTCACAATTTACCTGTCGTTGTTTGATCATACCGTTCAGCAGTTTCTTGATCGCAGTGCTACTTCTGATGTAGAGATCGTAGATGCCTTCTTTGATCAATTCACTGCTGAACGCAAAGCGGAGATGCTGAAATTCAGTCGGAAACTTCATGTATTGCTTGTGAATTTGATTTCAGGCTCAGCGAAACTTGTTGCGCGACAAAACGTTCTTGGAAATGGCTTCGAAACTTGGCGTTGCTTCAGAAATTCAGCATGCCCAGCGCACAGCGTGAACATTCACTTCTTGCACAAGTGCTTGATTGGAATTTCAACACACAAACGCTTGAGCAAGACTTCAACGCCTGGGAGACGGTGAAGGTTCGTTATGAGACGCTCACTGGCACTTCGTTGCCCGACGGTGCTTTGATTGCAACACTTCTGAATAAGACTTCAGGTTCCTTGCAGCAGCACTTGAGATTGAATTCGACGTCAATCAGAACGCTTGCTCAGATGCGTGAGGTGATCATTTCCTACTTCAAACCAAGACTTATGTTGCAGAACACAGCTTCTAGTTCTCAAGGTCCGGCTCCGATGGACATAGGTGCCCTAAAGGGTAAAGGTTACTTCAAGGAGGTAAGAAAGGAAAGAGTAAGGGATTCGTTCCCAAAGGAATGAAAGGAGGAAAGAGTGGCTTCGGTCACTGGAACTTCATGAAAGGAAAAGGTAAGCAAGGAAAAGGAGGATTCAAAGGAAACTTCAAAGGATCAGGAAAAGGAAAAGGAAAGGACAAAGGTTTTTCGAAAGGAACTTCAGGAAAGAGTTTCACGGTTGTTTGTTGGACATGCGGTCAGACTGGTCACACTTCTAGAGAGTGTCCGCAGCAGTATCGTGTTTCGGGGTTGGTGAAACTTCAGAAGATTGGTTTGCTTCGGAGGAATATTTGGGTGAAGGTGATCCCTGGCAAGACTTCGGTGATGCCTGGGACCCCACATGGGATGAGATTTCGCCATGGGGAATTGGTGTCATTGATGACTTCAGTTGGTATTCTAGCTCTTGGGATGATGGTAGTTGGTGGACTTCAGAAGACCCCTGGGCCTACAGCTACAACGAGCAGGCCCCAGCTCCAGCGCCCCAAGCAGATTCGAGCGACACTTCCAACCAGGCCCCAGGTGTCAGCAGTTCTCATAGGAGAGCCTCCAGGGCTTTCACTTCCAGAGAGGTCCTCGAAAGCCAAAGCTTCAGCTAAGCCTAAAGCTTCAACAGCCTCAGGACTTCTGCTAGCTGCTGTCACTTTGAATAGTGTAACTTCTGGTGCTTCGTTTGAGTTTGCGCCAGTGTTGCCCATGTTAGCAGCAAAAATTTCACCACGCAAGTCAGCGCCTGTGACTCAGATTTCTGCAGCGACCCGTAGCTGCCCACAGGACCTATTGTGTCACTTTGTAAAATTCCTCTCTGCGTAACATTCGATTCCATGCCTTCAGGAGTTGCAGAAACTCCATGCCTTCAGGAGTTGCAGAAACTGCTCCGAATTGCTGATCCCTGATCACCCACAGCGGTAATGCACATCCATCGAAGATGCACTTGGGAGCCCAGAAGACATGTCTATCTGCCCACTTTACAGAGCACAGCAAGCTTCCATGGCCCACACGCACGAATTTCAAACCTTTTAGCGGCGCGAAAAGCAAATGTCGAAGGCAGCATGTGCTCTATGCTGAGTCATGGCTATACTCCGCATCGGAGGTCAAAAATCAAATTAAAGCAGAATGCAAAGCTCGCGCTTCCTGGGCCCAAGAGATACATCATCACAGCCTTCCCTGCACCACATAACGAGCGGTGATTGAATCTGCTGAACATTCCTCAGCATTGCCGAACTTGCAACACCTGAACTGGACGGGATTCTTCAGACACAGTTGCAACCTTCCAACCGAAAGACTTCAGCGGGTTTCCGTAAGCATCAGCAAACTGCATGTTGTTGCCGTTATCCGCGCCAGAAGCAAGCACAAGTTCAGCTGGCTGAGCAAATGCTGCAACCATCCACGCATGCCCTTGCGCTGGCGCAATCGTTGCCCAATGTCCATCTATGTCTGTGGCGGACGTGTCATGGACTGTTACCTTGACGGAACGCAAGACGGCTGTCCGCGCGACGCACGTACATCCTGACCTGTGAAATGACCTGCTGCGCGCTACATCCCAGGTCGATCCTGAGATTGACATTGACGCGATCCAGAGGCTTTCAGGCATGGGAGCGCTGATCGACAATGAGGGGCTGTTGCCAGGCCACAGGCCACAGGTCAGCTTTTGCAATCGCAGCCAAGGTGGCCCAGGCGATAGGTTTCATTGCAGCAGTGTGAGTGTGTGAAGCGTGTCCCAGCACATGTGCGTCTGCAGCCGATCATGCTTATTGCTGTGATAATTTGATTGTCCATGTGCAGGCTGGTGATGTGAATGCGCACACAGGCCAAAAGTTTCATCAGCAACTTCACAGCCGCAAAGTGTTAATGATGAAGGTATCGCAGTGCCAGGGATAGCAGTGATGATGATGATGATGACCAGGGTGAGCAGCCGGTGAGTCCACTGAGCCCACGTGAGGCCAGATCTAAGGCCAAATCCAGGCCAAGTACGTCCAGAGATGATGGACGTGAGGACGCGAGAGGCTCAAACGATCCAATGCCACAGCCGCAGCCAGTGCCTAGGCAAGCGGACGCAAGGCACAGAGCGAACTGTGCAACCCAGGTAGATGTGTGGGTCAGTCGCAAGTATGGACGATTGTACCATGAAGTGGATTGCGGAAAACTCTTGCAGCTGTCGTCTGAGATAGTCAGAATGCCACGTGATCAGGCAATCAGGTTGGGTATGACGCCATGCAAGATGTGCAATACGCCCTAGAGCCATGTGAAAGTCGCTTGTGCCAGCACTTGGGACTTCAAGTGATGTTCATGATGCGTGGCACGTTTTGGTGTCAGGGTCGTGCAGCGACTCGCCTGAGTTCAGCTTTGGCCTTGATACCAGCACGTTGTCGCTGTACATAGCTTGATAATTTGGATGTTGATGATTCAAATTCCTTGTACGCCATGTCATGGCAGCAAATGATGCCGCGGAGATTCGCTTTGCCGGCTTTGCGGGTACATTGGAGATGGCCCTGTATTTGACATATGTTAAAGGTCATTTTGTCATGAAAGTTTTCTTGATGGGCAGTGTCATGCGGCATGAGCCAGCTGGGACGTAATCCCGTAGACGGATCCCAAGCCCCATGTTGCACTTTCTTGTGAGGTAAAGCGTTTAAATGCTCACTTGAGGAACGCCTTCGCTTCGGCGAGTCAAGCAAGGCTTCAAATTCCTGGATGCCGATCCTCGGAGTTGGGGAGAGCGCAGGAGAGAAGGATGTAGATGTAAGTCATGCCACTAAAGCATTGCATGCGTGTGCAGCTGGAAAGCATTGAGCCAACAAGTAGATGAGCCCAAATGACGTCTCACGGGAGCATGAAACTAAGAAGTCGTGTTTTGGATAGGCATCAAATCGTTGTTGCAAAGTATTCTGCCTACTCTAATGCATGAACTTTGAGGCGGGGTGCTGACGATTGTGATTTTCCATGCCCGTGGTATTTCATGCGAAGCTGTTGTTTTCCAATTACTTGTTCAGCTTGAGATTTGACACGGTTCTGCAGGCCCCCAGGTTTTAAGACAAGTTCGCAACAAAGGATTGGTCAAGCTTGCTGTGGACGGAGGAGAGTGATTGGTTGATCAAGTGTATCTTGGATAGGTTGATTGTTGCTATTGTGATTGTTGAATTTTACACTCCCCCTGCCGCTGCATCTGCCGTGTTGTCGTGGTAGTGGTCGTCGCAGTCGTTACTGAGTTTTGTGCATTGCCGGTTGTGCCTCCGTTCAGGAAATGGAAGATCACGGACCGGAAATTGGAAATGCTGCACCTCGGCTGATTGCCCAGTCGTACCTCATGGACAGCTGCTGCAAGCCCAGGAATTTCGTTTGTTTTTGGTGGCTTCGTTGAAGCGGTTGGACCTATCTTCAAGCCTCCGTGTCAAAACGGCGGTGGTGAATTTCACGACAGACCAGAACAGTTTGGAGGATCATTTTTTGATTCGTCTTTCGCAGGAAAGGGAGGCGCATTGCATCATAGCATGGCTCGGCCCAGCGCATGTTGGACTCAGCATCTTTCAGCCTTGCTTTCAGACCACCGAGCTCACAAACTTCGTGCAGAATCAGCGAGATTTCCTGATGCTAGAGGACCAGTTGCTCTCTCAGATCCTTGGCTTCACAAGAACGAAGAGAGAAAGTTTGTTGTTTCTCTTGATCCGGGGGAGGCTTACGGACAGCGAAACTGGACTGCTGGTCGTCGACACCCTTGCGACCGTGGCCACCTCTGCCGGTCGCCTCCAGGAGAAGTGATAGCGGCCTGGGTTGTGCAAGCATTGTGCAAGGTGTGCTGACAGCAACGCTTTAGAAGATTTACGAGTGTTTGTTTGATTAGTTGCAGCACAGTAGATAAAACTAAGGATGCATCGGATGCATGTTCTTTCCAGAGCAGTTTGCCTCCTGCGCAGGAGCTGCGGGAGACTCTGGCCGAGGCTTTGAATAGATGCGAGTCAGAGGGAGGGATGGGAGAACCTTTGCTCATGCTCTCAGATGATGCTGGTCTTACGGGCGCAGCTGGAGAAGAACCGCTCAGTGTATGGTGACCTCGCTGAGCGCTGTGCTGCCCTCTTCACGTCCCTAGACTCTCTTGCAGACGCCTGCGGCCGCTTTGCTCAAGAAGTGCAGCTTCTGAGTTGTTGAAGAGGCGGATGAAACGGTAAAACATATCTTGAACCTGTTAGCCTCATACCTGGTGCGCAGGCATGCGCAGCTGTGCTGGGAAGTGTGCGGCTAGAACGATCCGCAGCAAAGCACTGCTGAGGCCTGCCCTTCCTGTGCTCCTTAGCAGACACGGGCGAGTCCGCCAGCGCCGGGGGCCTCTCTGTGTAACAGGCGTGACCGGCGTTTGGAGGCTGTTTGGCCCAGGCTGCCTGCCAAGCGCTGCTGAAGCAGCAGACCTTGGTGGCCTTTGGCCAGGAGCAGACTGAGAAGACGTAAGTCTTAATTTCTTTCAATTCTAGAAGTGCAAGGGGAGCTGTTAATGAATGGGAAGTGAGTATCTGAGACTCGCAGTTGAAGCCAGTTAACCGTTAACCTTTCTACCCTAAAAATGACCGGTCCTTTCTCATGCAGCAGAGACATCTCGCGAGAAAAAACAGTTGAAGAACTAGAGCTTATGAACCTCACAGGAGGTACACCTCCAAAAGAAACTCCCATGTGTCATACGAAAGCTTCTCTGAGCTTTTGAGTCCAGCTTCGATCTGTACTAAGGAGGTGTGGAGGGGAAACCCCCAGAAATTGTTAAATTTGGCAGTGCTTCGCGGGCCAGACCCAGCCGGAGAAGGGTTTTCGGAAGGCCACTCCGCGAACCTTCAAAATAGGCATGATGAGGGGTCTGTTCTGATGCGGATTCGGGGTGCCGTTTCGGGTAACGTGGAGGCTGCTTGGGACGCCAGATGGCAGTTGTTTTAGGCACGTTGGAAGCCGTTCTTGGGCACACGGAGGCCGTTCGATCTCCGCCGCTTCATGAAAAAATGCACGCGCAAGTATGCACCTTGCTTCTAAGATTTCGTCCCCCCCCCTCCCCCCCGCGCGGGCGCAAGTTTCCGTTGAGTACTTGCAGGACACATTTCTTTCCACGATGGCCTCAATGGTGGTCCTGACGAGCAGCAGTTTGTGGGCCGTTGCCTCGCGTATTTTGCGGCGCTTCGCTGGGAGCTTCTTCCGAAGCCAACGAAATCTCCTCCTGGTCCACACGGCACTTCAAATTGATCCACAGGACTTGTCACAATGCAGCAAGTGCAAGATGTTTACAGCTGCCTGCAGTGCTGGGCAGGAGCCTCCTTACCTGAACTTCTTGTTCCACGGAACCCTTCAGCCGTGCGAGCCGTGCGAGCTTTAGAAAGAGAGAGACAAGTTCAGAAGCGGGACTGTTGTTAAGACAGATGAGACAACGTTGAGAGGGTTCTTCGGATGTCTGGAAGACGAACCGAGGCCTCCGAGGCAAAGCACGAAGATGGCAACGCAGTTGCCAAGTGGACGCCCTGAGATCTCCTGGCCGAGAGCCGCTGCTTGGAGCCGACATAAAAGAAAACAGAAACCTCCAGCAGATTAAACCGGAAATTGAATCAGAGATACCACAGAAGTCACGTAGAATCACAGACTTCTTCTCATTTGAAGCCTTCAGGTTTGGAAGAATGTGTGCGCCCTGGCCGAGCTGCCCATGTTCCAGGACCTACCGACGCACATTGAAGAGGACCTCGAGTCCTGGAAGACGGTCAGCCCGCATTCACGTTCTTGGCAGAAACTTGCTTTTCCCGAATGCGTAGCAGAAGGGATCCCGTTTTAAGGTTGGGGTCCAGGGGTCCAGGAGGCGACACGAGGTCGTTGCGTTTATGTTTACCAAGCGTCTTCAAGCGTCTGCAAGCTGTCGTGACTTTTTACGTTTCGTATTACAAAAGTGTCAACAGTCACAGGGATCCGGGGGGATCGTGGTCGCGAAACGCAGAACAGTCGTCACTTTTGGATGTGTCTCCAGTCTTCGCGTCTCAACAGTGTCAACAGTCACAGGGAGCGGGGGGGTCGTGGTCGCGAAACGCATAACAGTCGTCACTTTTGGACTCGTCTTGCGTCTTCGCGTCTCAAAATTGTCAACAGTCACGGGGATC